GCTGATCTTGAAAGGAAAGAAAGATGGACAGCAGGAAAACTGCTGTTTTCCTGTTTCTTCTATTATAATTTCCCCTTCTGAGAAAAGAAACCTACTCCAATTTATATTACCAAGGCCAACAACGACAAGTTTCAAGAAGTAGTTTACTTCAGACTTTTAACTTTACTTGTTATGTACAAGCCAGAAAAGTTTGCAATTTCATTTGTAAACTCAAAAACTATTCTACTGGGGTGACATCATGGGATCCTGTTTATTCACTCTGCTTTTTTTCTCTTGTTCATACAAAACCTGTTTAAAGCATCAATTTAAAAGTTCACAGACCCACTTATTTTATACCAGCTTCTGTTCTTTGGCGTTCAAATTGAGAGGTAAGTAGTAGAGTTGGTTTTGCTTTTTTTTTTTTTTTGAGAGGTGGATGATATGAGCCAGTGTGGAATCCAGCACATCCTTCCACAGCAGTATCATCTCTAAAAGTCTAAAAAGGTGATAAAAACGCATTTGCAGTATTTGTATTACCACAAATAGAACAAGTTTACACTTTGCTCTAGACCATATACAGACAGAAAATGTCAAATGCAGATGAACTGTGGGATCTACCAGGACTCAGTGGAAGCTGTGCCACCCCATTCAGATGAGTCAGAATTTTACTCCAAATATCAAGATAAGACGTTCCTGTTTCTCAGGTAGCAGAGAACAGAACAGGTACATGGCCTCCAGTAGCTTAATTCCCTAGTTAGAACCATGTTAAGTTAAAATCTGCTGTTAGTAAAGGGATATACAACAATCAGAACATGTACAACACCACCACTTTTGATATTTTAAACTGAGATACATACAGCTGGGTAAGTCACCGTCACCTATTCACCCTACATTACACCATGATGTTCTTCCAAGGAAGGGAAGACAACTGGCCTGTGTAGTTAGTTATCTTTTTACCCTGGATTCACACAGGGAATTAAGATGTTAAACTAATTTAGAAGATTGTAACAGCTAAGCTTTTTCCAGCTAACCATGAAGACTCAAAATAAAAGACTACAGAATATACAGTTAGGTTAATAAAATCTGCAAAAATTAGTGAACCGAACCTGCATGTTTAACACTCCCAATAATTTTTTTAAACAAACGCGTCTCTGACGGATGACAGAAGATGCGTATTCAGCTTGTCTGACAACACCAAAAAGTTTACTAAAGAAAGCAACTTTTAATATGGATCTGTAAACTTTTCTGTGTGTATAAAGAATCTTCAAAGTGTCTACAGTACAAGTCTACTTGTACTTGAATTTATTCAATATATATTTCTTATCAGCAACGGCAATGAACAGCTATATCCTACACTGACAGTCAAATAAAAATAATAACCAACCCCTATTGCTAGAGTAGTTGGCCATTTATGGAAATGCAAGCATGAAAGGAACTAGTATTTCCTAAAATTGAAAGTCTAAAGAAAAAATACAAAAAGATAAAAACTCTACTGCAATTAAAATTCATAAATCTAGTTGCTCAAATTGCCTGGGAGTGCAAGTCCTAATGTATCTTATTTTTAGAAGAAAAATATTGTTACATACCAATCATTTATGTGCAGTTTTGAAAGACTTAAGAGCCATAAAACTACAACTTATACATAAATGTTAATCTTTGCTCTCCTACTCTTCATAGTTACTGTAGAATATTTGTATTTTTAGCAAATATGGGCAGCAGAGCTTAGCCTGACTACAGTCACAACTTTGCTGTAAGTTGTGAAGTTTGCAAACCATCCGATCCAGGAAAAGCACTATATGAACAATGTAACAAGTCAGGTGACACTCTTGTCCAAAAAGATAGGAGTAGTATGACACCAGAGATGTCAACGTCTTAAGTAACTTACCAAAGCTGGATACCAGTCTGCCTTCTCAGAATTACAAGTCACACTCACAACTTTGCCAAGCAGTTCATCATTGAGACGCCTTTTATCTTCATCCTCCTCTTCACTACTTTCTTCTTCCTTTTCATCTTCAGTACTAAATTATTAAAACACAGCATATTTTTAAGTTTTTGTCTGAAGTTAATATTTGAAAGCAAATACAACTTACAAAAAGATCTTTCTTCCCATTCTGCAAAGCTTCAAAAACAAAATTATAATTTCAAGAGCTGAAATTGCTTGAAACACACTTAAATATTAAGTGCACTTACTTAGTAAGAGGAATTTTGTAGAAATTCTTTCCAAGTAGTAATATTTTACAACAGCATCATGTTGGAATTGGAGGCATGAATCAGGATTTGATTGTGCACAGACATGAAACAAAGAGAAACGGTCTCTACCCCAGAAATTTAAAAGCACCTTTTTTTCCTACTTGTGCAGTATAAAAAAGATTAAAAACCCTACATTTCCTGACACGAGTTCCTATTATACGAAAGAAGCATAAACATTCTTAAAGCTACTACAAGCAAAAAACCCCATCGATTTCATAATACTGCTAACATATGAACACGTCTGTATGAACTGAATTACTGAAGTCTAGAAGCTGTGCACACAGCTCACATGATACAGCATTCAGACCATTACAGCTTCAATGGTACTACTTCAGTTTTAGCAAAGGACACTAAAAGAAAGGAAAGCAACAGAGCACTATCGAAACTCACACAGGAAGAGATGATCTTCTTCCTCTATTAGATTTCTTCCCAATAACTGGAGTTCCAAAGTGCTCTGGATTGGTTAGTGGCAGTTGATCAAGTGTCTACATGCAAAAAGAGGAAACAAAATTAGTTTGCAATTTCTTCTTATTATAAAAAAAAAAAAATAAACTAACTACTTCGTTTTCATTGCATGTCTATCATTGTCTTACCTCACTTTCTGCGAAGTGCCTTTCACCCTTCAAGCATAACGAAGTTCGTCTCAAGGTCCTTTCATCACCATCATCAAAAACTAGCATGAAGCCAAGAAAAAACATTGGCACAAGATGATCAGATCTCCTTCCCAAGCTGACAAAACAAGTCTACTATTTATCTCACAATTTAGAATATTCCCTAAAACTGGACTTCCAAGACCTGCATTTAAACGTTACTTTCATTCACAAGCAAAATGGAGTGTGGTTTTCAAGATCCAGGCTAAGAAGAGATAACATTTTCACACAGAGATTCAAGCCAATATAAAGTAAGGCTTTTGGATGCAATAGCCTCAGTCTAATTTAGACATCCTTCTTATCAATACACTGCACATCTCGAACCATAGCTACTGGCTGCATACCAGCTACTATTACCTAACAATCTTAGGGTTTTGTTTGGTTTTGGGGTTTTTTTTTGACCCTATCCCTTGATTCCTTACCTATGCTAACTTTTAATCCTCTCTCTTGCTACAACCAACCCCACAAAGACAAATGAATGGAAAGAAAAACAAACGTGCGGTAGATTTTGCTACACTATCAATACTGTGCTACCAACAGACTAGGAGTACTGGAAACTTGCAACTGCAAGTCTGACCAATTTATAAAGACTACTTAGTAGACATCCTGTTCTCTTAAAACTCATGTGTATAAGTGACAGGGAAGTTCCACGATTTCCATCAATACACAGCTGAAGACAACTAGAATGCTATAATGCTATTGCAAGCTTTGCCTGAGAAAGATCTACTCTTTAGTCAGTTTACATAAAACTTTTTCGCGAAAACTTCCTTGAAGAGAAGGAAAGAAAAGTCACTGGTTCCCCCTCACTGGTTCAGATCCCACTGTCTGAACCATGTGAACAGGCTCTTGTCAAAGAGCAGAGACCAGGTGGCTGCAGTCTGGCATTCCAGTAGAGTAAAAGTTTGTTTGTATGGGTCAAAGTGCAGAGTACTACTCTATATTTAAACTACTTGAAACATACTTTGTCTAGTAGTGAACTTAAAAAAAAGTTTCAAGAGTGTTGTGCATATTGGTATGATAATTTTGGCATACTTATATTAAAAAAAAATACATCTCTTGAGTTAGCATGAATATCAAATATACGCGTATTGTTAGCGAAAACACAGATTGGCTGCAGCAAGAAAAGCACTTATTTTATTTGTCAAATAACTAAATAGAACAGTCACATTCTCCTAATCTTAGATTAAAACCACAGACTGCAATAATAACTATATAAAAAGGTATGAATACAAATTTACTTAAGCTTGATAAGATAAGCTTTAAGGTTCTTCCATCTTCAGAGTAGAGATACTGCTGTGGGATGCTCCACTACTGAATTATCATCACGGCTTACGTTATAATTCTTGCACACGCAAAGCAACTAACTTTTACCCTTCCAAAAACCTAATATTTTAAGAACGGCAGATACCTATATGCCTAATTAGCTATACTAGTTAATAATATTTTCAAAACTTTTAAACTATAAATACCAGTAAGACCTGTCAACCCCAACGTCAGTATGTTACTCTCAAAATCTTCTAGCTTAGTTACGGCTCAAGGAAGCCACCACTGCGACACTTGACACTAACCGGGAAAACAAAGCATGAGCTCTTCCCCTCTGCATTACTAACTCAGCATTGGCACCCACTGATCGGCGAAGTGCAAAGACCGGAGCGCTCAAAATAATTCTGAAGTTCAGCGTTGTCACGGGTTTACATTAATAAAAAAAGATATCCGTGCCACTCCTTTGAAGTCAAGTTTCATCACCCACTCCAAATGTGTCACTCATCAGCTCTCTGGACACTTTGGTAACAATATCTCATTGGCATATTTTCCAGTTTTAGGGTGGTTTGGCTGGTTGGGGTTTTTTTTGTTTTTTAAATGTTACAGTGTGTGCCATTTCTCATCACTCTGAAGAGACTTAAAAGCAGATTACCATCATTATCCTTTGCCAAACACATTCAGAACTAAAGTCAAAGTACTAATTTTTCACAAATAATCATTTTAGGGGACAAATGGCTGGTGATTGGCAACAGGTAACTTTATTGAATAATGCAAACAGAACCTGACACTTGACAGTAAAGAAAAAAAAATCAGTCTAGATTATCCCCAATTTTGGAAGCTCTACCTATTTAATTAAAACTAGCATAGTAGAGGAAGAAATCAAGCAAACCATTCATAAACCAGAACAGTTTTCAAAATGAAGCCAGTTGGCAAACAGCCTCTGTATCATATTGTAGAGCATATAAAATGCTCAAAACTTTTACTTCTTATACTGGCTCCCAAACATCAATTTTTTGCTGACATACACCATTTTTTCATCCCTAGGAGATAAAAATCTTATAAATACTGTTAAGTAAAATACACTAGTAAAACACAATAAACTCTGCTTACATTAGGACACATAAGGAAATTATGACAATTAAGACCTGTGTGAGATATTCAGCTTTCCTCAATTACAACAAACATGCAAGTTAACTTAGAACTTTGGAAGTCACATAATTAGATATTCCTAACCAATATGAGACAATTATAGATTGCAAAGTGTATTTGCAATTGCGGAAGTGTCAACTTCATCAATTTATATTTCACTTCCATAGACAAAACAACATGGAAAAAAACCAATTAATGCTGAATAATTACATTTTCCTAATCAACCCTCAGACCCAGAGACAATGAAAGCGCAAGCATGCTTTCAGAGCTTGGCAGTCATGCTTTCAGTCCTGTTCCCAGTTTCATACCTGAATGAAGACAAGTCTACCTCTTCCTACAAGCCCTTTTCTGCCATTTCTCTCCATTTTCTCTAGTTGAAGGTACAGAAGTGGCCTGTTCTACAGAAGCTGCTTGTCCCTTGCCATACAGGGAAAAAGCGCTAGGACACCCTACATTTTCCAAAACTGAAACAGGTGGACTACAAAAACAAAAACAAAAAACCCCAAAGCCCCTTCTGAAACCCCCCTCCTGCCCCTAAAAGGAAAGCCACTCTTT